GCAGATATCAGCTGCGCATGAGAAGCCCCTCTCACAAGCGCACGATGTCCCGCTGATGGCTAGGTAGTCACGAGCAAGGCAGCTCAAAATCGGGTATTTGCCTTCGTTCAACTAAAGAAATCGATATCATCAGCATCTTTTTGGCAATATTTACACAAACAGCCAAATGACCCACCTTCCACCATTCCAAAGCCAGATGAGGATTCTCAACAACATCTGCTGAAGGCTCCTCGGCCATCTCCAGGTACGATCTGAGTTCGTTAGCTGTGTTGCGTCGGTTCTTGGCTTTGTGCTTGCGGAATTCTTCGTCATCTTCAGCAGCTTCTAAACTTTTGCTATTGACGACCCGGTTAGAATTTGACGTGATAGGCTCATAAGGGCCGTCGATCTCCAATTCAGCCTTCTTGTTGCTGTAAGCTGATTCAATTAGTTCTTTAGCAACATTTGATTCTTCAGATGATTCTCCAAAAGCAAAGTCGAAGTAGTCGAGTCGCAGGCTTGGATGCATGATAGTCGCTAGAATGAGAGTATGGGATTCGAGAGACTCCTTCAGGTAAGCCTTGACTCGAACCAACATCGCGTGATACATAGGGAACAATGGCTCGGCACGGGATTGTGTTGCGTCGATTTTCTTCTGCAGTATCTTCTTGAGCTTGACGTACTCGCGAATGACCAAGGAGCCAGTTGGTCCGTTCTGCTCGAAGAACTTAGTCAAGTTCTCAAACTCCTAAAAATTACGAAGACAAGTTAATGTTGGATAAAAGTGATAAATTAATGAGAACAATCTGAACCGAGGCTTACCTGTAGAATCTTGATCAAATCTCTCACTTGTCGCCACTCATCTGGCGAAATCATAACCTTGTTGAAGATCCCTCGAGGTCGGTAAATGTCTGGAGGTAATGGAGTTTCGCCCACACGGGTTGATCCTGCTGTGTGTGGTAGCTCCATCTGATCTTCTTTCAAAATTTGATCAATAACCTACAGACATAAAGGGGATTGTCATTCAGCGATATATTCCCAAGATG